TTGGTGGATCCCATGGAAATGAAATAAATCCGCGTTTGTGTGCGTTTGTGTTTTGGTATTAACAGGCCCCATGGAAAATAACAATTCCCAAGTGGCTCCTTTACCTAGGTAAGTAATACCCTCTTGAGACTTGGGCAAATCACTTTTCCTGACCGTGTGGAAAATTGCTAACACATGATGGAACAATATTATCACTTCAATAATGACACTTTTATGGATAGAATGGTCATTCATAACTTTGGAAAATAAGAATACTAGTAAGTATACTTATCTAGTAAAGTGTTTCCCATGAAACATTTGATTGAATAAGCACATTTGCCCAGATAAATAAATTTATGTTTAATGAACGAAGACTAATAGAAAACTTAATGTGAATGCATTTAAAATAAACCATTTTTAGTTGTCCATTCATAGCATGCCATGTCATGTAAAATATCTTAGTAAGGTAGGGGATAAAACTTGATTGCCAAAGAAATCTTAAATTCCTCTTACATTTTCTTCGGAAACCTTTTATTGAATGTTCTCAAAATAAAACTTTTTATTGCAAGTTTTAACCTCCTAGTTCTCTTGTATTTCTAATCAAGACACTCATATTCTCTCCTAAAGCCCATGTTCCTTTCCATCCGGCGATCCTTGTCCCCTGTGTAATTGCTTCATATTCAATTAGACAACTACTTTTTCACAACTTGGTTTACATGTAGATGATGGTCCAATTTGCAAGTATGTCTGGAATCTATGAGACCTTAATTGCTAAACTCAATACTTTTTTTTTTTGTGTAAAAAATACAAAGGACGAAAGGCTATTGGAGCGGAGTTACAAATGTTTTCTTTTTTCAAAATTAGTGTAAAGTCACGTGTGCATGTATGTAAGTCAATGTTTTAAAAGTCAACCCGGAATCGAAACCACTTTGGCCACTAGTTATTAGGTCATGGTTCAACCATTTGGTCTAAACAGATGGTCTATTGCAATTTAGGCTCAATTTGGAAAGAGGACAAATACAAATATGTGGAGTGCAAAACCTTGAATTTTGTATGTATTTGCACTGTACTATTTGTATTTATATTCTTTCTGAATTAAGCCTTAAAAAATATTTAAAAACAAAAAATGGCCAAAAATCATTGTCTGAGTCAAACGGGTTAATGGTTTAACTATCCAGGACTAGTGGGTCACTAATCAAATCAACTCTTTTTGGCGAATGAACGACTCAAGTAAAATTGAACCAGTTGCTTGAACAATTTCTAGGTTGAATGGCCCAACCATCCAAGCCAATGACAATTTGAAAATCATGGTGCAGGTAAATGGTAAAGATAAAAGGACATGAAATCATATTTAACTTTTATGCCATGCATGCAACAAAATAAAGGCAAGTATTTACTTTATAATAATATGAATTTTATAGGAAGAGATGTATTCAATGGAAATTATTATTTTGAAACCTCTATCTAGTGTTTGTTGGCTAACTTGGGACTATTCCAATGGGGTACATGGAAGTATGGGAGTCTATAGTACAAGGAGCAATCAAGGAACCTATGAGGGAGCACATTCATAGTAGAGTGAATATCACCGGTTGTCATGTAAGAAAGAAACTTTCAAATTTTTACAGTGAACTTGGTGAAGATGTACATTTACAGATGTACTTACCAATGGGACCTATTGGGAGTTCATATCTCCGCCAGAGCCGCCCCACAGCACATCCCCGCCATGTATTGAGAACATCTCTCGATGATGACATCATTGATACTGATACTATTATCTAGAGATATTCTTAATACACAGCAGGGATGTGCTATGGGGCGGAGATGCGATCTCACCTATTGGAACAAAGTTACCTAATTTTCTAAGTGAGGCTGAAGAAAGTCTAGTTTTAACCAAGTTTTGAGCCTTTGGATTGTACATCTTTTGGACTTGATGATATACCATTTGATTGTTTGGCATTTTCATCCATATTTGTAATTCTGAATATGGTATGTGCTGGTCTAGATTTAAGATTTTCATGGTTTCTTGCTTGGTTGCTTTGGTTATTGCACAAAAAGAGACATACATGTGCAAACACATTATGATTTGCAGGTTTAAAACTGTTATACAAATATCAAAGTTGACTAGCAAATGCATCTATTCTCACTACAATGCACTGATGATATCAAGGTTGGAAAATTGAATTTCATTATGGTTCCACAAATGAGCGGTACTTGCTTCATTTAAGTCATTCATAATCCAAAATATAAAAGAAAAATAACTTAGATTATACTCTTGAAGATTATTTTTGAATATGGTCAACTGAAAATTTTGTCGTAAGTTTAGTCTTTAAACATTTATTCATTTTTGTTGGTTTTATGACATTTTTCCATCCATGTCCATTGGAATATGACTTCATTAATTAGCCCATTTAGTGTTTTAACTTTTGAGAGTTCTATTCTTGATTTTTTGACTCCTTATGGTGGTTTGAAGACCTAGTAGTGGCCTAAATGAGATTTGTTCTTGCACTTTGGATTTCCATGTAGGCTTCATTCGTTTCTAGGAAGTAGGGGCAGGTAACTTGGTAGGTTTCACGAAAAAGAAATAAATACATGCTTGTTTTTCAATATTAGCGAGTCCCATGAAAAAGAATGATTCCCAAACAGTTCATCTACTTGGAGATTTGCTTAGACTTTGAGTAAATTAATTATCCATGCATATAAAAAATTGCTAATATGTGATGGGACAATATTGTCCATTCAATAATGCCAATTTTTTGGATTAAAGTCATTGTACACTTTTACTTATGGAATAAAAGAACATTATTTATTGCTCTTATCTGGATACGTGTTTTCCAATAAACACTTGTCCGAATAAGTGCATTTACTCATGTAAGTCATTTATCAAGACGCGAAAAAGGCCATAAAGTGTTGAGACTTAGTTCTTTTTGCCATTCATTGTAAAGGAGTACAACATAGAACAAAAGAGTGTATGTACAATAGTCAATAGATGGCACTAGAATTCTTTCTCCCTTGGTAAATTCATCCAAGTCAATAACATTGGCAATAATGGAAATTGATGTTTGCACCGGTGGTTGTTTTTACAAGAGAAAATGTTGCAATGTTGGTTCATTGTACTTCTTATGTTTTACAAATTGAACGAAGATGAAATTCATCTTTTTTTTTATCTCCTTTTCTTTTTGCTTCTATTGCTTCCATTGTTGTTATTGTGTATTTATGTATGTTGATTGTTGAATACATGGTGGGGGAGTGTAAATGATACATAGAAAATCAAATGAGCAATAGAGAAAGATATATATATAAAGAGAGAGCAATAGAGAAAACATTGAATATAGATAGAATGAAGATAAATAAGCTAGTTGCATACCAAACATAGAAATCTCGTGATAGTCTAGCATGCCTATATATGTGAAGAATTTATAATGCCTATATATATATATATATGAAGAATTGCCCGATATGGGGTGTATTATATTAACACCTTAATCGTTGGGATCATTATGAATCTTCTTTTCTGATTTTCAAACAAGGTGTATGTTAGTCTCCCCTTCAATTTTCTAATATTCTCTTAAACTTATATTGACTTGTCAATACCTTTAGGTTTTATACTCTCTTGCTAGACAATTTTATTTATAATATGCTAGTAATAGGTAAAGATGTAAATCACATGCTATACATGTATAGAAGTAAAAGGTAAAGATGTAAAATTAATAACTTGACATATAATATATATATATATAAGGCTTTTAGTAGAGATGTGATTTTTTCAAATTTAGACACATGGCATTTTTTGAGAAGTTGATGTTCAAGCCCACAACCCACTACCACCATTCATACAAGTGCCATTTTCATTTTCTAGAAAGCTAGATAGGGGGCAAATTTTGAGAAATTCTTGCTAAAGCCCACAACCCACTACCATGCGATAACCCCCCACTATTCAGACACATGACCTTCTCATTTTTTTGGAAAGCTAGACACGTGACATTTTATGAAAAGTTGCTGTTAAAGCCCACAACCCACCACCACCATTTTCAATCCATTTATAAAAAAATGTAGAAAATGTAAAAGTGGTTATCCACTACCACTTCTGCCTACATTCTATCAATCTCAATTAATTATTAATTCTTTAAGTAATAACAAAAGAAAACTATCAATATTTTAATAATTATTAAAAAACTATTTTTTAAAAATTTAATAATTATTTAAAATATTAATAAATATAAATTTAACATTATTGATTCCATATTGTAAATTTAACATAACTGATTCCCCGTACTTAATACGAGGTCATTCAGTAATTATATAATCAAATTTTAACTTTTATGACCTGCACCGAAACGAAGGTCAAGCCAATTTTAATTATATACATTTGGTCAAGCCAGTGTTAGTGACAATTAACGATGAGCATATTCACTAATTTTTATATAACAAAAATGCCATGGTTAATTTTCTACCCTAGTTTATGGTCATTTAATTTAATTTATCTCACAAACACCAAATGATTCAATTCAAAGGATACGGTTGAATAGAGAAGCATCTTTGTAATCTTGCTAAAACTGTTTGTTTTGCCATGGCAAATATTAAAAATTAGGGTAAGAGAAAATTAGAAAAGGGAAGGAGAGTTTCACATAATAACTCTTTTTTTATGGGTAAGGCAAACGAGTCATAGTCCAATCATCCAGGATATGGACCACATATGTAGGACTCAATGGTATGAAGCTGACGTTATATACGGAGATCGAAGTTGAATCAGTTTTACTTTACGAGTAGAACTGTTGGCGATTCGATCTCCAATTGATGCCTAATGAAAAAAATCCAATCCACCGTATTATTATATAAAAGTAAGACCCACTTAACCCGGGGCCCACCTTCGGGACGATCGCGCTCACACTAAAGTGAGCCCGGATTTCCTGTACACGCGAATTTTGCCTACGTTTATCGCAATCACACAGGAGAACATCTATCCTATGCATATAGTATTATGTACGAGGGATATTCCCAATTCACGAGGTTGGTGTATTGTGCGTAGGCGTGGGCAGGAGATCCGAGGTCCAGTAAAGTGCACCCAGGACTTTTCCTCCCGTCTCGTACTCTCGTTTACTTGACTTGGGAGAAGCTCTCTCTCTCCGGTCTCCTCTCTTCCCAGAATCTTCGGTCCTTCTATTTTCGGAGCACGGTGTCCATACAATAGATGTAACAGCGCTTTTCGATGGAAATGGTTTTGGTAGCTGAACCCTAATTCTTCCTCACGGTGTTACTTTTGTTGAACATACATAGTGCGTTGCCGAATCGACGGATCGCATTCTCTGAGGATGTTTTGTAGTTGAGCGGATATCTTATTTGAATATTCTGGTTTTCGTGATACTAGGAGGTTAGATTAAGGTTTGTTTCTTGCTTTGAGTGTTGTTTTTTTTTGAAGGACGGATTTTTCGTTGTTTTGTGGAGTTGTTTTTCTGGTGGTTGTTAGGAAAAGCTATTTTTCTTCTCCTAATGTGTTTTTCGTTTTGCTAAATCTCAGCGGAATTGGGGGTTCTGGGGTGGAGGCCGGAGGATAACTCTTGAGCCTCAGAGACTCTGAGAAATGGAGAATTCAAGGGTTTCGAGAGATAATTTTGGTGTAGAAAGTGGTTCTAGATTTTCTTATCATAGAAGCAAGTCGTTAGGTTTCCAGACTACCCAAGGGACGGCTCAACAGTTATGGAACGGAGAATTTGGATTTAGTGGGAACGACCGGAGGTTTGCTTTTTCGCGCCAATCTTCCTTCCATCAATCGGCTGAACCTCATACACCAATTTCAATAATTTCGAATGATTCCATTCGGCCTCTGCTTTCTCGGAGCGATTCCAGCATCAATATTCCGCAGGGCAGTTATCCGCAACTAGAAAACGAGAATATCTGGAAGGGAACCGAAAAGTCTTATTTCAGAGAGGCAGATGGTTCATCCGAGAATTTTTCTTTTCTGTTATTTGTATTTTCTGCTTTTCAGATTATTAGATCAGGTAGCCGGCCTATGAAGCGGCTTTTGATGATGATCTGGCTTAATGTAGCTTATTCTACGGCAGAGCTATGTATAGGTCTCTTCACTGGGCGTGTAGGTAAGGACAGTGATCTTGTCCTGCTTCCAGATCTCATTTTCTGTTTAAGTAATTTGTTTCCACAGCAAATATCTCCTGTTTAGAAATGATTTTCGAGGCGTGGAGATTAAGAATTTAAAGCTGCAGGTTTACATTAAACACAACAGAGCCCTGACAATACCCCCTGTAAATTACTCTGTTCCGAAAACCAATTAAATTTCCAAGTACTATCTGGGTGTAAACTGAAAAGGGGCTTGTTCTATAATTAAGAGCCTATTTGATTAGGTGATGTATAACAATCGGGTTTACTCTTGAATGTGCGTTTTTTTTTGGTTTTCAAACCACAGGATATTATCTGTTATCACCTATTGGGTTCATTCTGTAATTCAGTAAATCTTATATACTACAGTAGTGTGATTTTTTCTGGTTCACCTTTTATGTTCTAATTTGCGTATCTCCCTTTCCTGTTTGCTTCTTATTTTCAGGTCTGGTCTCTGATGCATTCCATCTGACCTTTGGTTGTGGTCTATTAACATTTTCATTGTTTGCAATGGCTGCTTCCCGAAAGAAGCCTGATGGAGTCTACACTTACGGGTGAGATTAGAGTTTCCCTCTTTATGGTGATCTGGAAATTATTGCAGTTCATTTTCACATATATAGTTTGCAAAAACGGTGTGTAAAATATATAAAATTCTAGAGTGATGGTGGCTGAACAGGATTAGTGTAGCCTACCTGTACCTCGTATAGTTGGGGCAAGGCTTTGTTGAGTTGAGTTGTAAGGATGGTAATTTGTTATTTGCAGAATGTCTTTTGTCAGCAGAATTGTTAAATAAACAATACTTTTTGTAGAGGTAGTGATGTTTATCTACATGAGAAGATTTTATTTACAATCCGGGTTTGGTATTGTGGATTGTAATTTCCATGCAGATGTTTTTGGTAAGTTTAAGTGTTTGTATTGCAACTGTATAAGTAAGAAGGTACCAATAAAATAGTATAAGTAAGAAGGAACAATAAGTTCCATATACAAGCCTTAAATGGTGCTTACTTCTTAGTATACTCATATACAGGATATACAATCCATACTGACTCACCAGACAGGAAAATTATGATGTGCCATTTGTTAAATAAACTAGAAAAAAAGATAAGCACTTGAATCTGACAAAATATATGCCCAGGCTTGAGCGTATTCATTTCTGTAGGAGCCATCCATTTATATTGAAATAGTATAAGTAAGAAGGTACCGATAAAAGAAGTACAAGTAAGAAAGGACCATAAGTTCCATTGGCACAAAGCTTAAATGGTCCTTACTCCTTAATATATTCATATACAGGATATACAATCCATACAACCTCATCATACTGGAGAATGACAATGTGCCAGTTGTTAATTAAAGTAGAAAAAAAAGATAAGCACTAGAAATCTGACAAAATATATGCCCAGGAGTGAGCATCTTCATTTCTGGAGGAACCATCCGTGCTTTTTCAAATAGTTTGATAAAACGCCTGATCTGATAAGAGAAGGGACACAAGGGGGAGGGGGTAACTGTAGATTCTTTGTTTGCTTGGAATAAGGAGCACTCAGTATGAATATCCCTTCCTCTAGAGATAAGGTGAATATCACATTCCAATTGTAAAGCTTGTATCTTAGACTCAAAGATTTCTTGGATCTTTTTCTTTTATGTTTTCCCCTTTGGTAGTAGCTCTTCATAGAAAAGTCATCAAAAAGAAAAAAAGAACTAATATGGAAAGAAAATCCTGGCGATGGCTAAACCTGTGTTTTAAACAGCATGCCTAGGCTCACAGTCACAGATGAGGCTCATTTTGTGTGGTATGCCTTGCATGAATACAGGTGCACATCACCTGACTTGTTTCTAGTTTTGATGAATTAACCTTGAACTTAATGTTGAATTGGTAAGCTATTAGATTGTAGGTTGTACTTATGGTGTGTTCAAACAGTTTTCTTATGTAGAAGTTGAGTGTACTAGGCTGCAAGTTAAATAATATGATGCTCTAACTATTAAGCTAATCGGCCTTTTGAAGTTTTTAATTTCTTTCAGAATTTAGATTTTCATATACTTGTATATTAAGTTTTTCCTTTTGTGTTTGCCCTAAAGTAGCACCTCACTTTGTTCAGGCTTGTGCTTTGCCTTGTACTTTATGCTTCACATTGCACCTTGCACCTTGTGCCTCAGGTTCTAGGAACTTCTTGCATTTTAGTTGTGATTCTTGTTTTTAAAACATTGAGTTACACAAATTTTATTGCTAACAAGTGTGGATCAAAGACACTTTGAGTATTAATGGGTCTTTTTGGTGCTGTGGGTTTTGGAAGGAGCACAAATAAGAGTTGGCTTATAAAAATGACATAGATGAATTTGGGTGGTTTACAAAAAAATTGTTATTACCATTATGGGACTATCAAGTGTCTCCTATCGTCATAGCTGGCCAAGTGTACATGCAGCTTTTATATATGCTAATAATGGATAAAGAAACTTTTGGGAATCATATGCATTAGAGTACCAGAAAGATGATTTGGTAGGACAATTAGGAAGTATATTGATAGTGGCCATGGTAATACAAGAAAAAAAATACTTCTGTAAATTTTTGGAGTTGGCCATCTACGAGGATATTGTAGATAAAAAACTTCGTTGCCCTTTTAACTTACTCTTTTGGTTGTTAATACCATATGTTTTTAAATATTGGTTGTCTACATTTTTTTTTGATCGGTAATATTAATAATATTGATTATCTACACTCTGTTGATTTAATGATTCTATGCATTTTATTTATTTTGTTTCAGGTACAAAAGGCTAGAGGTTTTATCTGCATTTACTAATGCTGTACGTACCTGACATTTTATTGCTGATGGTGGCTTTTTTTCTCTTTTTGAAAATTAATTAATCAAGTTTTATTACATTAAAGAAATACTATTTGGCACTCTTAGAAAGTTGATGTCAATAGTACATGGAAATACTGGCCAAGGGAGAACTTAAATTGGACATAGAATTGCAAATGATAGACCATGCACCTATACTACACCTTTAAGTTAGAAATGCTTGTGAATGTTCTCCTTGAAATTTATTGACTGAATTATTGGCTTTAGGAGGAATATGCACTTGTTGGCTGATGGATGAAGTGGAAGTAACATATGGACAGACATTAGGTAGCTCTTGTATCATTGAATATGACTGACAATGGCCAAAACCCAAAAATCTTTTAATACTTTTTGGTGCAGGGACAGAAGTTGGGAAAAGGAAATCCAAACCCATTCCTTTCCCTTAGTCTGTATGAACCTTCAAGTGGCTTTTTCAATGAGCTAGGGGTTAGATTTTGTTAATTCATCTTAACTGGACTCAATTTTATATTGCTATAAAGTTGTACTAGCAAGTCTAATCCTATTAAGTTGTAAAGTTCAACCTAGAGGAAATGAACTTAGACTCGTTATAGTTTAAGTTTGACCAACTCAAAAAGGGTCCCATGTGCTAAGAGATTCTCTCAATAAAACCAGTCAAATATTTTTCAGAAATTCGATTAGGGAAGCAAGACAATTAAATGATGGATTGGAAGCAGAACTTATCTGAATACCCTGTTAGCTAACTCTTTTACCAACTCCTTAGCTTGCGAAGGAGTTAATTAACAGTTTCTGATGGGGAGGGACTACCAACTGGGTTAAGGGAAAGTTTATTTGTTACAATTAATAAGGTTGTCTGTTACCTATCAAAAGAAAAAAAACATTTTTTTGACAAGTACAAAAGAAAAAAAAAAACATTGCACATATGTATGGCATTGCATATATCATGCTGTTTAACCTTGATTGTGAAAAGTCAAGAGAATCTACTGATGGTATGAATTTTAAGAGATATTCTCTATATGCTTGATATTGTTTTATCTCAAAGCTACAGTTGTTTCTTCAGTAAAAGAACAATAGTTGCCTTATTGTTACTACTGTTTTTTCTGCATCTGGGCTAACATATGAATATAAATTGTTTTTTCTTCTGCTGCTTGTGTAGACAGCTGTTCCTTTTGTTCTTGTCATTCTCATTAGCTGTGGAAGCACTTCATGCATTCATACAAGATGAATCTGAGCACAAGTAAGTAGCTTGTTTTAGAATTGATGGATATGTTGATAATTACATTCGAGGGTCTCTACTTGGAAACAATTTCTGAAAACATATGCCTTGATTTATTAAAAGCATGGCTAACACCGTCAGCATTCAACTACTTTTATTTTATGCTTCACAATTCATTTAATGCAGCAGTATAAGATAATAGGTGTGGACCATAATTGAAACAAGGCATTTACTTGTTACTAGGATCAGAGCCTGGCAGCAATTGTGCGTCTACAATGGCAAAATAAGTTCTTGCAGTGGCTTGTGAGCCTGAAAGAACTTTTACTTCATGGCACTTGGGGATAGGATTTATATGGTTTGTGATGATTGCCTTGGATTTGGGGTCACCTGCATTGTAGGGTTTGATTTAGGGTACCTTTGCTGGATGGGTAGATAACAGTTTCAAGTACTCTTTATCAAAGGGCATCCAGAGAATTCAATAGTCAATCAACACCAACTGACAAAACATATCTTACTTACAAAAACCTCTTCATCAGTCAACTAGATGGTTCAAAACTTCATCATGAACATGAAATTAAGTGGAGTATTCCATTTCCTGCAGTATATTAAGGTGAAAAGCATGTTTTGATTTTTTCAATCTGATTTACACTTTAATTTGAAGTTACTCCAATGTTCTACCTCTAGTTCTCTTGAACACTTAGCAAATCCTTCCCAACTACAAATTCCAGAGAGAGTCTTATTTAAGTAACTACAACTCTACAAAGATGGGATTAAAAGATAGAAGCTGTTTGACAGTTTGAAGGCATTATTGACTAGTTGATCTTCTTTCTGTTTAAGGACCTTGGCACACTTCTAGATAACTAGTTTGGTGGAGCATACTACTCAGTCACCTAATAGCTAGGAGATGACTAAGACTATACTTCTAATCAATCTCTTTGTCTGCTTGTTTATTCATTCTCTTAATAAAAGATATTTTTTTGACAAGTAAAGGAGAAATTTAATAAAAGATGTTTTCTGAAAGATAATTAAAATTATAAAACCATTTTTGTAGGAATTAAGAATTCAAGACCCTAACATGGACTTGTTTGGGCTTGCCTTAAGGGGTTTGGTACAAAGGCAGCTCATTGTATTAGTAATGAAATACGTTTAACATCACATTAGCTATTTCAAATAATGCAATTGGAAAAGAAATAAAGAAATTGAAAGTTTGGCTTGCATTTTCACTCTGAATATCTTTTATATGTTAAGTTTTTGTATTTTGATTTGAGCTAGTAGGCTTTTTGAAACATTTGCTTTAAAATTAAAGTTTGTATTTTTTTAATTAATACTATTTTTAATATTTTCTTAATTTATTTTGATTTTTTGGCATTTGTCACAGTACTTTTTTTTTGTTTTTTTAAGTTTTTAAAAGAATTCCACCTTGCTTCAAAAAGCCACACGCTGTGGGCATAGAATACCCTTTGCACTATGCTGTGCCTTGCTTTTAAACTGATTTGCTCACATACAGGTCTTATAGCCCCAAGAAAAAAGAAGATTCTTATATTGGGTCCCATAGCTCTAGAGCGATGATAATTGCTTGCATATTAACAACATTGATCTTTTACAAATATACACATGGTTTATTTGTTTCTGGTTTCTTTCTTATGTTTTTTATTTAGGTTTGTATTGACATTTCCTGGTATCTACTTCTAGGCATTATTTAATTGTATCTGCGGTGACAAATTTATTAGTGAATCTTCTCGGGGTTTGGTTCTTCAGGAATTATGCTCGTATTAATCTTGGTAAGTTTTCTCTGAGAAGTTCTTTCAGATGTACTTATTTCTTATTACTGAATTCTTTTAAGGTTGTGTTATGGGGATTCTTTATATACTTCGAAGTTATTTGATCATGTATCTAGCTATTTTGAATTGTGAACTGTGGAGGCTATTTGGAATGAGATTGGTGTAAGCAATTGAAACATACTTCCCTTTGATAGATAATGTGAATGTGTTTTTAGCAATGCTCAGAGAACCGGACTTGGCATAGAACCGGAGAAGGGAGAGAGGTTCATGGGTCAGAGGTTCAATCGAGGTCGAACTGTGATGATGTCGCATATATGTATATTTACTATGGTATAATATATTTTACAACTTTTAATATATTTAAATATGGTGGATGGATGGCAAATTCCTTAATTTTTAAAGAAAATGGCCAGGGTTCAAGTCCCATAATTTACATTTCTTTAAAATATGTGCATAATAAAGTAATGCATACAGTAAAGAGTTATTAAATAGCATAAGTGAAGAGTGGGCTAGTGATAATTAAGCAATATATGAAACTAAGAGGTCATTGATAAAAAAAAATATGCAAATAAGAGGTCATGGGTTCAAGTCTTCTCAAACTAATTTTAAAATTTCATGTATTTAATGGCCCGGGTGGTTTTATGAAACCGGCATTGGTTCACCAGTTGTCCGGTTAAACCAGCCGGTCAGTTGGTTTTCATCGGTTTTTTAGTAAACATAGTTATTGAGGTGTGATTGAACCAGGCCTTGGGCCATGGTTCAACTGGTCCAACCGGCCGGTCCAGTCCGGTTTTCTAAACTCTGGTTTTTAGAGAACAGAAAAAGGAAATGCAACAATCTAGTTCCTCATTAAAAAAATCAAGTTCCTCAAAATAAGAGAAACTCAGAAACCCTTGACAGGAGACTGGAGTGATCATGGGGGGCTGGGCTGGGATTAGCACCCATCATGATAAAGGCTTCAGCCTAAGCCTGGTCCGCACCCTGGGCCTAAGTTACAAGTCAGGGACTGGCCCTACACGCCTACACGGGCCCGGGATAGACTTACGTGCCTTTTGGGCCTAATGAAAAATTTAATTAGTTAGAAGATTTTAAATTAAAAGATATATGATGCATGAAAAAAAAACATTACACGCCCAAACTAGGCTGGGCTTAGCTAGGTCTTAGGCCTATTGCACAAAAATAAAGGCAATGGGCCTGATTTAATTCATAAACTTGGTTTAGCTTGCCTTACCTATCCATTTAGAGCTGAAGGCAAGGCCTTCATTCCCATTCTTGAGCAATGTGGGACCTGGAACAACACAATACTGAGTGTTGCCATTGAAGTGTTGGCCCAGCACTGGTTGTGGGCCAGGCTGGGCTTGCACACAAAAACCTGGGCCCAGAAATTTGCGGGCTGGGTTTCTGGGCCAGGCCAAGAATGATCACCCCTACAGGAAATTAACATAATGACAGAGAAAAGTGCATTCATACACAGAAAAATACTACTAACTTGGGTAGAAACCTCAAAACAGGTCACCCCTATCCTCACATGGTAATATTGTCTGCCAATGAAATTAGTTAACTACAGTATCTTTTTAAATGATACATTCATTCCAGATGCCAATGACTTGGGTTGTTTAATGAATTGACAAAGTGGTCATTGTCCAGTCATCCCTTGACTCATTCATCCATTCACTATTTGTGCTTCCCCCTCAACCACCATTTGGTTTACAGCCCTGTTTAAAGCCTAGAACTGATGCCCCTGTTTCATCCAATCATTTTACAACACTGTTCTATCTGATATCTCCAAATATCCCTGCTATCTCCACCCTGAAGCACATTTATTTTTTGGCCTCAACCAATCAAGGTGACGTGGTTAACCTTTCCACCTTAGACTTTATAAATAACTGACAAAAAACCTAGATGGTTGGATTAGGGGGTGGTGGGCATAGAAATCTTATCCTTTGGGAGAAGCTACGCATGAAACTCAATCATCTCCAGCTGGCTTCCCCCTCCTCGCCAACAACTAACAAAATAATGTATACTTGCAAAATATTGACTGAATTCAAATGGATTAGGAGTGCAAATGGTTAGCTGACTCCTTAGCAAAACAAGGGGTTATGAGGCAACAATTGTTTTGGGCATCCGCGTACTTGGGTTATAAAGGGATTGACAGTTTGACACCACAGACAATCAAGTTGTATTAATCATTCCTATTTTTAATTTAATAAAATGAATTTACTTTTGCTGATCAACAAGAAAAAAAAGGAAATATTGACCGAAGGTCATTGTCTCAGCTTGAATTTACTTGCTTTGGCATCCAAGAGCACTTCTTTGCAATCCAGGCTTCAAGAATACAGACTTAAATGTTTCATTACCTTGAAGGTCACAACCAGTGCTGGCTAATACATCAGCTATAATTTCACACATTGAGCACATGGTTAAAAATGACATTCGGATTAAAGTTCCTAGTTGTGACCACTCTGATTTTTTGATGTTAAGGATAAGAAATAGAGAGTTGATTTTGGCCTCTATTACCATTATACCCATACCTAATCCCATCAATAACAGTTCTGCCTCTTTCTTTTTTCATATGTCTATTCTAATTGAAAAATGAGTATTGAATTCTTATAGATACTTTTTACTGTGACCCTTAGTTTGGTATTCCTTTTATAAACAGCTTGATTGGCTTAAAAGGGGCAGGGAGTTGTCCTCGAGTCCAAGATATATCCTACTACCCTGTCATTCATCTTTAAGCTTCAATGTTAAATCTGCAGCATCCTCTACTTTGTGGCACTCTGAGTACCTTCACAAACATCTTATTGTAGCCTGGATCACCAGTTGCAATCACTAGGACAATCATATCAATTTCCTTGGAGCAAATCCAGCATGTGTGTATTTGTGCCAGGGTCGGGGGCAGTCAGGCACTCAAATCTGCTGGCATGTGAGGCATGCCCTGTTCTTGGTTCCTATACTTTGTAACAGGACAAACATGAAACACCCATTCAGGAACACTTTATGCCTATGATATCTCAAGGTTATTGTAATTGTCACCATCAAAAGATGTGCTTTTATCTCTGGGAGAACCGCCTACTGTATTTTGTTTTCTCTACTCTGTTAAGAAACATGAAATACCCCTACAGGAATGCCTTCTGCCTATGATATCCCAAGGGTTTTATAATTGTGACCATCAAAAGATGTATTTCTATCTTTAGAAGAACTGCCTACTGTATTGTTTCTCTACACTGTTAATCTTATTAATCCTGTTTGGCGGATTCATTAGCCAATCAGGGAGTTCACAGGCAGCAGCTTTTTTGGGCTTTATTGTAGCACTATGTGAAACAATAAAGCCTTCTGCCTATGATATCCCAAGGGTTTTATAATTGTGACCATCAAAAGATGTATTTCTATCTTTAGAAGAACTGCCTACTGTATTGTTTCTCCACACTGTTAATCTTATTCATCCTGTTTGGCTGATTCATTAGCCAATCAGGGAGTTCACAGGCAGCAGCTTTTTTGGGCTTTATTGTAGCACTATTTGAAACAATGACTGTGTTTCTGTTATACCGTAACTCTGTTCTATTAATTTAAATAAACTTCCTCTTTTCTGATAAAAAAAATCTTCATCCTGTTTTCTTTACACTATGTTGATCTTATGTACCTTGGTGCAGTCTACCGGAATGCTGAAGATATGAACTATCATTCTGTCTGTTTACATGTTCTTGCAGATTCTATTCGTAGGTATAAATGCTCTCTCTCTCTGTCTCGCACTCTGGTTTCTATATATACTGTTTCCATTTGCATTAAATATATGCTTTGTTTTTAAAAAACACAACTAAAATTGGTGTACGTTGATTGTTCAGTGCAGGTTTAATCCTAGCATCCTGGTTTCTAACCCTTGGGTAAATTGTTGCTTTCTTTTGTGTTCTGTATTTTCTCCGATTTGTCAGAGCATTTTGATCACTTAGTGAGATTGACATTTCGTGGTCCCGTGTGAGTTGCAGCACTAAAGACCAAATGAGTACTGCTATTTTCATATTCTGGGAAATACAAAATGTATCATGTACAAAAAGAAACATTCCTCTTGAAGGTTGGTGTGGTTAATATCTTCCATTGTCCTGTTCTCAGGGTCAAGAATGCTGAGGTATTGTGCCTGGGACTGGTTTCAGTAACAGTGTTTATGCTTGTCATACCTCTGTTTAGGACAACTGGTGGCATATTGCTTCAGATGGCACCACCTAACATACCCTCTTCAGCTTTAAGCAAATGCCACAGACAAGTAATTATATCCTTAATTTGCATTTTTCTTACTTTGTATTTTAAAACTATTTTTTGTTGGTATTCATATACTTCAATAACAAAATAATTTTTGTTTAGATTACTGCTCTTGAGGGTGTAAATGAAGTTTCTGAGGCTCGCTTTTGGGAATTGGTACCTGGCCATGTTGTTGGGTCACTCTCATTACAGGTAAAGAAGCAAATTACTTTTAGGTTGTTTTTTTATAGTGTGACTTCTAAACCATTGCTGTCTTATTGTGGCCTGACATCCATGGACTTTATAAACATGTTTTTGCATGCAATGTTTGCAGAATTATGCTATGGTTTTAACCATGATCCATGTGGTATGCCATTGTAACCATATAGAGAAGGAATGCATCTTGGGCTAGAGTCTTGGAGAACCTCTTAATCTGACTCAGCTCGAAGTGCAACCTAATCAATTTAAGTGTGGTTAATTTGCATATGTTACATATTTTTGTAAATTATTTTAGGTATGACTGTTTTAAAAGGTGTGCCTCGTGTATACAGGCATGGTGCATTTTAAGTCACGCACCTGACTTCAACCTAGGTGCAGCTCCTTTCAAAAGGTGCATGCCTGTGTTGCATTGCACTTTCGCCCAAGCATTTGCCTTTTAAGTTTGCTTTTTTGGTTACTTTTTTATATGGTTTTTTGTGTTTTATATCTTTGTAATGGTTTGACAAATTCTAAATTGCCATTTGTTGGTGGGTGCTTGTGCGCTAATGAGGATCTATTAACTTTTAATAGAAATAGAAAACAAAGACCTTTTGAATACTGAAAATCCTCATTATTACAGATGGGATCTTGGATGGAAAATTTTCCAATAAAGAAGCAATAACAATACAATGATCTTTGATCCCTAACCTTAAAACAGAATGAACAAAATCATAAAACCAATCTCTTATACAGTTAGGAGATAAACATGTTTGAGAATTTCACTTTAGAGTGCGTTACCTTTTGAATACCGAAAACCCTCATTATTACAGATGGGATCTTGGATGGCAAAATTTCCAATAAAGAAGCAATAACAATACAATGATCTTTGATCCCTAACCTTAAAACAGAATGAACAAAATCATAAAACCAATCTCTTATACAGTTAGGAGATAAACATGTTTGAGAATTTCACTTTAGAGTGCGTGAAGTATTAGGTACAATCTACAGTTTGTATGAGCTTCCACTTTGAATTTGTTTTGTATATTATGCTTGCGCATTTTGGTTTTATCTAATAAGCTTTTTAAAACATTTAATTTCTTTTAGTTTCACATTTTTATGTATTATCTTTTAGTTTATTATAAAAAATTTGTGCCTTGTTTCATTCATGCACACCTTGCTCCTTGCACATTGGGTGCTAGAAGGCCCTTGCATTTTTTTTCTTGCACCTAGAGGTTTCTTCGGTTTGAACTAGCAAGTTTCAACCTCTTTGACTCATTATCTTCTTATTTTTCCATATGTATTTTCAAATAGAAACAAACATAGGGTTTTAGTTGGGTTAGGTAGCATGAGGACTAAAATTTAACACAGCCTAATTCTAGTCTGGTCGATAATTTTCAAGCCTAAGAATGGAGGGCCCAAGACCAACCCAACATGGCCTAATGTTTCTCATTATGTCGGGCTTGGGTTCAAGCATTTAGCCTGTCAAGTTGTATTACCAGTACCAGTGCAGACCCTTTGTGTTGTTGTATATATAAATAAAGTCCCCTACGTAATGATTTCCTTTACCATTTTGACTGCCATTCGACGATTACTAATTGGGGCAAATCCCAGTTTCGGTAATCTAGGCACATCCCTTGTTAAAAGACAAAAGGTACACCCTGTGCCTTTTCCAAACATCACAATCGGCCTATTAATTAGGGTGCAATGGGGTGTGCTCTAATCACAACTCCAAATCCTTTTTTTTTATGCATCTGCGAAGTTTTACTTTTATAATTGCTTGGGGCTGAATAGGCCAAAAATGATATGCATCTGTATACTTTAATAGGGGTAGCAATTGTTTTATTCAAAGGGGATGTGCCCTAACCACTACCATCCTAGTTTGCTCAAACCTGTTATGACTTGTGCGTGGTGCTTATGTTTGGGTCTCTTAATGAAATCCATCACTTTTTTTTTTTTTTGGTGTAAATTATTGACAAGTTGCTAATTCTTCTCATTGTACAACATTAATAGGTGAAGAAGGGAGAAGATGATCATCCCATACTCGTGTACGTTTATGGTTTGTATCATGATTTGGGGGTGCAGGACCTTACAGTTCAAACCGACTATTGGTGAGATTCTTCTTTCCCCATCTTTCTGGTGGCAAGAACGTCGTACATTTCAAAAATCCAATCCAGTTTTACAGTCAGAATGTCAACATAAGCAATGTATCAGTCAGTAGTATCACTAGTCAAAGTGCAAAGAAGATATTGCATTAAAAAATAACACTATGGGCAATATATATATATATATTATATTATATGCTTTTTAATATGCGATGCGTACTGTGTATCAGGTTGTGTCATTTATCTTCTTTAGGTTCGACTATATTACTGGAAAGACTTGATACCGGTAAAACTTGTATGGGGATTTTATTTGTTCAAAACACTTCTGGTATCATGTATTTCCAATTGCATAGAGCTTCCCTTTTATCATCCAACATCTTAATGGGCCTATTATTTAATGGGAAAATCTTGGGCTAGCAAGAGTGACTGTGTGAGAACGCTGGTACGAGTCTTAAAAGGCAACCACTTTGTGTGAAAAAATGCCAAATGCTAGGACCGTACCCAATCTACTCCCAAAAAAAACCCATATAGCCGGTACCAACTTTGGATAATGGCCTTCATCATTTTAACATGTGAATCTCCTAAATGGCTAAATGTCATCTTAATCTTTGATTCCTAAGCAGTCGCATGATATAATTACCTTTATGGCTTTCTTTCTCCCATGGCATTTTCAAATAAACAAAGATATATTGAATTCACCATTTTATATATTCAGGTTATGTTGTCTTAGGTATTATTAATTGCTGTTTTTACCTGGAATGATTTGAGTTGATCGATGCAAATTAATGAGATATGTATACATTCAAGTTCAGCCAGAATGATTAGACTTAACATCCCACCCAGAAAAATCTACTACACAACAGCCTTGGGCTAAAACGGTCAATCACTGCCCTTGATGATCAGTCCATGGATTTTTTGGTAATACAGTTTATTCTATAATATTAAAAAGCAGATCAGTCCACGAAATGGTGTTCATTATACGGTTCAAACAACTTGCTGCCTTGGTTTGTTTCGGTTCGTAATTATAAATTATTTGATTTGGTTTGAGAATTTTTTAAATTGTGGTTTACGGTTTTGGTTTAATTTATTGAATTTTATAAACTGAATCAAACAGTAAATTATATATATAATATGAATATATGATATATAAATAATATATATAATATATCTAAGTGGAATGTGTAAAATTACAAATATACAATGAACTCTTTATTTTATAATAAAATAATAGTTTTAAGTTTTAATTTTTAGGGAAGCTATTTGGGCTTTCTAATTGAGTTAAACCTAAAAGAATCATAGAATGGTCTAAAGTCCCCAAACTGTATTAGAAACTATAGTAAAATGGTTTGGTTTGGTTTGATTTTCATACCAAAACAGTTTGATTTGGTTTAAAAAAATTTTAAACTGTTATTTACCGGTTTGATCTGATATCTTCTCTAAACTGCACCGAACCAGACGATAAACATCCCCAAGTCCACGATTTCGAGTTCCAACAATGAGCTAACAGTTGCATGCCATTTTGTGTTGATCTTCAACCACCATAAACTAGCGAGTTTTGGGGTCTAACAGTCCCCAAGCTAAGGAAAGATGTCCCATTAAGGCATTTGATAAATATAGTTTAAGGGGACATGCAGACAGAAAAGAGTAGACATATTCTCACCCAAAGTGCGTCTTCATTGGATGCCAAAATGCCTCTGTCAAGTCGTTTCAAAGCTTTGTAGTTGATTTATAACTTTTTGAAATTGCCTCAACTTTATATCTTCTATCTATCAGAAAAAAAAACCTCAACTTGGTTTTTTTTTAATTTTTTTTTTCAATTTTGATTTTTATAGGTATATGTCAAAGCTCAAGCTACTGCTACTGTTTGAAAAATACCAGTATATTTGTAAGCTTAGAAATGGATATATTTACAATATGCTTGAATATGCATGGATATGATGACAAGATCTGGATATGCCTGATATGTTTGAGGAAATTTTGACAAATACCATTGATGTAACACTAAATCTATGGTTGAAATAGCTATTAATTAGGTATTAATGCATAAGAAAAATTTTACAAAAAAACGTACAAAGAATATATACTTTAATGGTTTATACTTTATACGAAGAAATACATTATATTACAATCAATATAGAGGAATATGTTGCCTTCAAAAAAATATAGAGGAATATGTAGATATCATATAATTTTATTGGCAGAGTCCAAAACACATACTAATATAGCTTTTCACAAGTTATACATATAAGATTTGCAACTTGAAATTCACAATTAATGAGAAAAAGTGGGAGGTGGGAAAAAGGCAAAATTAATGAGATAAATAGTGGGTTTTAGTGATTTATTGGCAATGAGCAGACGATTAAAATTAGAAATCCAGTTACATATATATCTTCTAATATTGGTCAATATAAACTGGTACAAAAGAATGGTGTCAATATTTGAGATGTTACACCTATCCCATGTAGAGGTACATTTTAAACCTTGCACACATCCATAGTTACAATATTTTCTTGTGATTGCACAGCCAAGCTTGGACACGCTACCGATTCATCCAAGAAGAAGATAACGTTTTTTTTTTTTACTTTTTTTTTTTAGGCAAATGGGATGATGTCCATCTTTATTTGAGGTTTCAAGAAAATGCTGCAATCATGATGACAAATGTGATTGTGTTCCAAACTTGCTAAGACACACAAATATAGATGGTAATTATTTGAACTAGGGCTGCAAATGGATTGGATTTAATCTCATTTAAATTTGAGACTTGAAAATATGATTTTTTTATTAATAGGATAGGATTTGGAATTGCTTGATCTGGTTTGTTGGGATTTGATCTAATCAAAAGACTGTTTTCATTATTAAATTCTTTTATATTAAGCTGGCTTTGGGATTAAATAAATCTATTTTTTGTATGGTATATAATATTTGTTTTATATCTAATTTTACAATCTTATGCTAATTTTTATACGTTTTTACTGATATATCAATGGGATCGGATTCAAATCAAACATCCCGGTATTCAAATAATTGAATTCTAATATATTTTTTCTTTAGACACCCATTAGATGTCGAATCAAATTTGGATCTCTCGGGTTTTTATAAGATCAAATCAAATAAACCCATATCCGAATTCAATTTGATTGTTTGCAGCCCTACCTTGAATAGTTGAATATAACAACTTCTAGACCTTTTTTTTGAAAGCAAGAATTCATTAAACAGGAAGAGAAAAGAAACAGAAAAGGAGCCACCAATACATGATTAATCAGGAAGAGCTGGAGGCTCATGAACATATTCTACTGGGCACCCAATAATTCTAGCTTGGTTTGCTACTAGATGAACCATTACTGTTTGCACTCTCATTACATACACCAATTTACAGAAAACAAAAGAAGATGGTAAGGTCTGGAATATTGCATCGATTAAGCACTGTTCAGACCAAAAAAGAATTTTCTGTATCATGATCTTGGCATCAGTATGAATAACAACTGAAGCAGCGTTCAACTCCTTTGCTTTCCTTAAGCCCCAGAGGATTGCCCAATACTCAGAGTCGGCTGCAATGAAATAATTTAGAGGAGAGAAAATAGCTAAATCAGTAGCATGCAGCACGATTCGTTGTAGGTTCCAATTAATGAGCCATCAACGTATAATTAAGTGCAGCACGATTCTTTGTCACAACTCACAAGGGTGAGATCGAAGATAAGCATTCAAAATACATTCTATAAATTCAATCTTAATTAGTTTCAATAAATACAAATATGGGACTATATATATTGTGGTAATTATAAATACAATTTAATTATACTAGGATATATATGAAGGGACAAAGATATAGGAAAAGCAGAACTCATCCTAAATGAATCATCTGCCACTGAGATCTGTGCTTGGAGTTAGCTGCCCTACATGTACATGCAGAGAAAAATCTGAATCATCTCCAAAAGAAGCAGATGTGGCTGGCCAAATAAAAGCAGGTTTCTCATCGGGTGGAGTTGGTGGGATTGTTTCACCAGTGAGAACTCGCAAGGCCACTCTCATGGAGGGCCTGTAATTAGGATTTGGATGACAACATGCCAATCCCAACTTCAGCACACATTCCATTTGCTCCTCGTTCAAGTCATCCTGCTGCAATCTGGGGTCAACAGCATCCAGAATCTGGCCTTTTCCATACAACTCCCATACCCAATCAACAATATTGCTTTTAGAGTTGCTTTGTGGGTTTTGATTACCAGGTCTTCGTCCACATGCAACTTCCAGAAGGAAGATACCTAACTGCTGTGTGGAATGATTAGTTTCACCCTCCTGTTGAACGGTTCGAGCCAATCCAAAGTCTCCCAATCGAGCATTGAATTCTGCATCCAACATAACATTGCTAGATTTTACGTCACGGTGCAAAACTCGCTTCTCACTTCCGTTGTGTAGATAATCCAGTGCAGAAGCCACTCCACAAATAATTTTGTGCCTTCTTTTCCAACTCAATTGCACTTGCACATCCTTCGTTCTCTGGTTCTGGGCAGGAAATATGAGTTTGTCTAGGCTCCCGCCAGATAGGAACTCATACACGAGGAGGAGCTCATCACCTTCGTAGCACCACCCAATTAATTTCACTAGGTTCTTGTGTCGGAGACGGCTGATTGTTGTCACCTCTGCAATGAACTCTTGCTTGCCTTGGGTTGAACCTTTTGACACTCGTTTTACAGCAATCTCCAGGTTGTTTTCTTTCAAGATTAATCCTTTGTAGACTGTCCCAAATCCTCCTTTCCCAAGCTTGTTGTTGGGATGGAAATTTGCAGTTGCAGTTTTGAGTTCCTTAAATTTGAACCTCCGAGGTGCTATGGTGTAGCCTCCAATCTGTATTTCTATGGTGGGATCCACAATTTTTTGTTCCCCGTGTTTCCTTCGCAAATAATAGTAATAGATGAATCCAGTCAATCCGCACAGTAAGAGGGTCGCTACAGGTATCAAGATCCAAACCCACAACAGGTGGAGAGGATCATCTTCTATGTCCTCACCTGTGAAATCCCATGATTTTACACAGTTGAGTTGGGTATTATTCCCGGTGGAAGCTGAGAATCCCACATAAACTCTCCGGAAGATAGTCAGACGGATCAAGTGGATATGAAATCAATGGATTCACAGTTCCATTACTCATGACAAGAAAGACTTCCAACGTTTTCCACGTCCCGTTGTATTGAATGTTGAAGGTAATATCAGTTCCGCTCGAAAGATTGACGCCGTAACCACTCAATGAAAATTTCTGCCTGGAGTAAATGCTATTGACATCCAAGCCTACATGGCTGTCATCAACGTCTTCTGGGTAGCTCTTCCTTGTGTCAAATTCTACAGCAACAATATTGCTGCTGGAGGAGCCATTGGTGCTTGCATTTACAATCTCAAGCCATTGGCCTTCTCTGTGGTCCGGAATGCTTGATTCTGCTGACAATATGAAGGCCAAACCTTCGCCGGGGGGCTCAGTGCGGGGCGAAATATTGAGTACGAAGGTAGAATTGAAGGTAGCTATCTAGTTCTTTCTTCTGCTCCACAACAGTTTTCCATAGAAGATCCTTCCAGACAAATTTGTTATAGGAGCTCCGCTAACATCTGCTGTGACTTGAAAAGCATCAAGAGCTATCTCCGAGTAGTTGGTTAGTATGAAATCTGATGGTTTGTGAAAAATAGTAAGAGAAAGAAGGCAGTAAAATAAAAGATAAAAGAATGAGGAAGTAGACTTAGTAGATCGAGAGAAGAATTCTGTTAAGCATTGTATTGTTTGTCTCTCTGATATCCGAACCAGTACAGGATGGGGGTATTTATAATGGATGGAGTCGGTTGAAGGTGAACCGACTCACATAGTCACATTGAGCAGAGCAGACATTAATTATTCTTGGGAGCCGAATCGGCTAACTTGGAAACCAACTATTCTAGGAAGATCAAACGACATATTGGAAAGGGACGATCATTGAAGATGACACGACTTACATAGTAAAGTAGCTGTTCAGAGCACTCGATTACATCTCTGATACTCAAGAATGACTCTAGAACACTGAATTAATATTTCTGAAAATGTGCAGCAGCATTTAATACTCCTCTTTGGTGCACATTTTAGCAACACCAATCATGTCTCGTAACAATTCGAATTTGTCTTTCGGTAGCAACACCAATCTGCTAACTGTTCTTCAGTTTTGCAATGTTTGAGTTCTATTTCTTTGTTTCCTTCAGCTTCTCTGATAAAGTGATACTTGATGCCAATATGTTTGGTTCTGCTGTGAAATATGGGATTCTTTACCATTGCAATAGTAGATTTGCTATCGCAGTAGATTTTAGTAGCACCAACTTGTGGTTCTCTCATGTCATCAAATATCCTTTTGAGCCGTATAGTCTGGCTCGTTGTTATTGCTGCTGCAATATATTCTGCTTCAGCTGATGATTGGGCAACAGTTGCTTGCTTCTTTGAAGCCTAAGAAAATATCCCTGATACAAGTGTGAAGGCATAACCAGATGTACTTTTCATGTCATCTACAGAACCTGCCCAGTCACTGTCGGTGTAGCCAATGAGCTTAGAGTCATGTGTGACTCTGTACCAAATTCCATAGCTCTTTGTTCCTTGCAAATACCTTAGTATTCTTTTAGCTGCTYCATGATGAACTTGATTTGGATTCTGCATGAATCTTGATAGTAGACTAACTGCATACATGATGTCTGATCTTGTAGTAGTTAAATAAAGAAGACTTCCAATCATACTTCGAAATTGTGATTCATTTGCCTTTGACGAGCCATCTTCCTTTTTGTATGCTTTAGTGTTGTCTAATGGAGTGGAGACTGTTTTGCACCCCTCCATTTTGAATTTCTTCAAAAGAGTTTCTATATATTTCTTTTGTGAGATGAATGTCCCTTCTTCTTCTTGAGTTATTTCAATTTCAAGAAAATAGTGCATTAGGCCTAAATCAGTCATCTCAAAAGTCTTCATCATGTCTTCCTTGAACTTCTTGACCATCTTCTCATTATTTTCAGTATAAATAAGATCATCAACATATAGAGAAACAATGAGAGTGTCATTTGTACCTTGAGTTTTGATGTAGAGTGTTGGCTTACTATAATTCCTCCTGAATCCTTGTTCCAAGAAGTAATTGTAAATTCTGCTGTACCAAGCTCGTGAAGCTTGTTTTAAGCCATATAATGCCTTCTTTAATCTGAGAACTTTGTCTTCTTGTCCTTGCACCACGAACCCTTGAGGTTGTTCCACATAGATTTCCTCCTTAAGATGGTCATTGAGGAATGCAGATTTTACATCAAGTTGAAAAGTTTTCCATTTCTTTTGTGTAGCAAGTGCTATCAATGCCCCGATTGTGTCAAGGTGAGCAACTGGAGCAAAAGTCTCATTGTAGTCGATACCATATTGTTGTGAGCATTCTTTGGCAACTAGTCTTGGTTTAAGCTTCTGGATCAAGCCATCTGAGTTAAGCTTTGTCTTGTAGACCCACTTAACTCCAATAGTGTCTTTGTCTTGTGGACGATCCACAAGCTCCCAAGTCTCATTTTTTTCAATCATTTTTATCTCTTCATCCATAGCTTTTCTCCAATTTTCTTCCTTAAAAGCTTTTTCAAAGCTTTCTGGTTCTATGATCATCAAATTGCATGTTTCATATATTTCTGTTAAGGATTTAGTTCGCCTTGGTGGTGAGTCCGGAGTAGACTGTGAAGCTTGTTCCGGTTCCGATTGTGTTGGCGAACTAATTTGATCATGATCTTCTTCAATTCTTTGACTTGGTAATAGAGGCAAATTGATAGTCTTTCTTTCAACTTCTTTTGTCTCCCAATTGTATGCAGCATTCTCGTCAAAACTTATGTTTCGACTGATTATGAGTTTTTCTTTCCTTAAGCTATAGACTCGATAGCCTTTTGATTGAGTGCTATAGCCTAAGAAAATTCCTTTCTCAGTCTTCTCATCCAGTTTGCCTCTTTTCTCTTGTGGGACATGDGTGTAGCATATGCATCCRAAAACTYTGAGATGCTTTGCTGATGGYTTTTGCCCACTCCAAGCTTCAATTGGTRTCCTATCTTGCACAACTTTAGTAGGACATCTGTTGAGCAGATAGACAGCAGTGCTTACTGCCTCTGCCTAGAAAATTTTGGGAAGACCCTTTTTCGTGAGCATGGCTCTTGCCGTCTCCATAATTGTTCTGTTCTTTTTTTTCAGATACTCTGTTTTGTTCTGGAGTGTACCCGACTGTGAGTTGATGCTCCATGCCTTCATCTTCACAGAACTTGTTGAATTCATTAGAGGTATATTCTTTGCCTCTATCACTTCTTATGGTCTTGATGTTGTGACCACTTTGCTTCTCAACACGGGCTTTGAATTTTTTAAAAATATCAAAAACTTGCGATTTTCTCGCAAGAAATAAACCCATGTCATTCTAGWATAATCATCAATGAAGAGGATGAAATACCTGTTTTGATTATTTGATGGAGTACGCATTGGACCACAAACATCTGTATGAATTAACTCCAATGGCGCTTTGGCTCTCCAAGCTTTGTCGGATGGGAAGGGTTGTCGATGTTGTTTTCCGAGCATACACCATTCACAGACATTGTTGAACTCTTTGATAGTTGGTAGGTCACGCATCATGTTCTTCTGCTGAAGAATCCTTAATCCATGGAAATTATAGTGTCCGAATCTTCTATGCCATAGCCACGACTCGTCCACTTGTGCTTGCGTTGCTATATAACTTGCATCTTTCCATTGAATGGGGAAGCACCTGTTTTCTGTCATTTTTGTTTTTGCAATTTCAAGGGAATGGTTTCTGCACTCGTTATGTTTAGAAGAAATCACGCCCAAGAGATTGATCAAACGGGCTCTGATACCACTGATGGTTTGTGAAAAATAGTAAGAAAAAGAAGAATTTTGTTAAGCATTGTATTGTTTGTCTCTCTGATATCCGAACCAGTACAGGATGGGGGTATTTATAATGGATGGAGTCGGTTGAAGGTGATCCGACTCACATTGAACAGAGCAGACATTAATTCTTCTTGGGAGCCGAATCGGCTAACTTGGGAACCAACTATTCTAGGAGGATCAAACGACTCATATTGGAAAGGGACGATCATTGAAGAGGACACGACTTACATAGTAAAGTAACTGTTCAGAACACTCGATTACATCTCTGATACTCAAGAATGACTCTAGAACACTGAATTAATATTTCTGAAAATGTGCAGCAGCATTTAATAAAATCGTTCTCGGTTGAAGGACAATCCCACCATAAAATATGACTAGAACCAGAATCTCCATGCTCCTATAATAACAGATAACTTGATTTATTTCAAACATGCTATCTTGTGGAGTATTAATTCTCAAATTTGAATTGTTTTTCTTGTTGCTGCGAGTTCCAGAAAACAAAACAAAACCTGGGTTGAAAACAAGATTGGTTATTAAAACAGAAGCACAGAAAACATGTCCTTAATTGGTTATATGTGCTTTCTTGAACTTCTGGTTTAAGGAAAGTGTTGTTTAATTTGGTTATTTAGGGGGTATTCGTCATTGTGAATTGTTTTTCTTGTTGCAATTTCCAAAAGCAAAATTAAAACAGATGGTTTGAAAACAAATGTGTTCTTGTTTTCAAAACTGAAACAAAAAACATGTTCTTGAATTTCTAATTTACATAGCATGTTTTCAACATTTCATCTGGTTACCATATCATGTTCCATGCATAGTCATATAATTTCTTTTTTTGGTAAGAATTATATAAATCACATACCACGAGTTTTTTTTTTTTTTAAGCCTTCATGTTTTGATAGTGTAAAAAAAAATTATGGGTTTTTGAGACAAAGCCAACTTTTTTCTGCTTTTCAAAACAAAACATGTACAACTCAAGAACATGTTATTTACTATTTTCTGTTGGTGATGCAAATTTCAAAGACAAAATCATTTATGTTGTGGAAGGCACCCATGGTGTTTTCAATTATCTGAATGAAAATAATTAGGTATTAATTGATCGGAAACACATCTAATATCTTCCCAAAACAAGTTACAGCAGGAGCATGAGTACATATATCTATGTATCATGGTCGCCTTGTGAAGAAATTGTAGAAGTGTTGAACTGACTTGCAAGCAACTTCCTCTGCCTCTGAACAGCCTTTCTTTTAATTCCAATAATAGACCTGTAAAAAGATGATTAAATTTAAACTAGTTAATTAAAAGATCAATCTTAGAGGATAACTTCGTTACTGAAATGAAGACCATTAATCAGAACTATATAACTTCAAATCTGATGATGACAAAGCTAAGCTACCTCTTTTTCCTGTAAACTTCCCAAAGCCATTTGAAAATTCCGCCGGCCCGACTATATACAAGTGGAACGGCAGCGCCGCTGATGACGTGTGGAACAATATAGTTTGAAGGGAGTAGCGAGCGGGTAAAGTTGACGTTTTGACCGTTTCCTTTATTTTTTATTTATTTATTTTTAAATAAGGATCAAATTCGAGAGGGTGTGAACATTGGGGCTGCAACATGAGTTATGGTTGAGACTTGAGAGGCCTTGGGCAACCCTATCCTACTCAATCCTGACTTAACTTCACGGGTACAGGTAAAGCATGATAATCATTTTCTTTTACACTTAATAATGTTGATATTAATGAATCAACATGAACCCTCATAAAAGAATATAAGAAATAAGTATATTTAATTTGGATAATAATAATAATAAAGAAATGGGACCAACCCAAAACCCAACTTGAACTCAACCTGATCCTGACCCTAAGTCAATCTAAAATTTTGGGGTTGGATTGGGGGTTCAATAACTCTGGTTAAGTTAGGGTTGATTTCAACCCGACCTAACACAGCCCGATTTGCACCCTGGTAACAGATTTGTGCCATCTGTTCATAACACTTGAGCAAGATACATTTATTTACATCCAATATTTTAATACTCTCAAAGTCAAGTGTTGTGAACGAACCGGTGGTACAAACCTTTGATGTCACTACTTTTGTTTGTCAAGATTGAAATCTCTGCTGAGGTTGGTTGCTCCGCTCACGTAAAGATGGGGCATTACCAGACTATCACATTTCAGTAAAACTGATCTATAGTTAAAAGCTTGAGTTAAACGTGAAGGAATAAGATATATTATACTTGGTGGTTGGGACGAGAGATCCATGGGTTAAGAAATTGTGGCGATTGATTATTTATGGCCAACAAAAGCTTAACTGGCTTGAACAACTTTGCCTGCCAAAGCCCAAAGGATCGATTAACTTAAGAATACATGTTGATGGCATGATCGAACAATAGGTTGTGATTTGTGAATGCTGTGCTTGGATTTGATGATCATATCTGATCTGATAATGAAGTCAAACCATGAATAGAGTTCCTCTCTATACATATTCAGATTTAACGTTTTTCCAATTCTTGCAGGTCAAGCTTTCCCTGCTAAAGTTAAAAATTTATTGCAGAACTACTCTGTTCAATCTTGGTTCTTCTTGACTGACGGATTCAATCATTCCGCCCTTTCCACTTCCGCCCCAAATCAGGAGGAAGAAGGAAAATTAAAAAACAAAGGAATGAAAATTAGAAAAATAGAGTCATGTTCTTGTCATCATAATCGCCATCGATCATCTCATCTTCATCTTATTAGCCATCTTAGCCTTATCCCAAGTAATTTCTCAAGTTGGTGACTCTGCTATCTCTACAATGTATCTGCATT